GGGGTGGTCGTCGTCGGCTTCGGTTCTCCTCCGTCTCCCGCTCCCGCGTAAGCCCCCGATCCCCGCGCTGCGTTTCCCCGCTTCTCGATTCGGTTCCAGATCTGGAAAGTCGCGATCTTTTTTCGGGTTTCGACGCGGCGTTCTCTTTGGTTCGCGTTGTTTCTCGGGTAGATCTGTGTCGGTCCGATGCGGTTCGGAACGTTGTGTGTGTCCCTTCTGGGTGTTGGAAAGTTGCGGGCTTTTTGTCCGGTTTTGGGTTCTCTAGCTCCGTGCGGGGTGCGCTTGTGTTGCCGATCTACGGGCTTTTGTCCGTCTGCTGGAGCGAATTGAGGCTCAGCTGCGTGGTGGATGACGGATCCTTTGCTTGTCGTTGGAAATGGCTTGTTGAGTGTCTCATGCATGATTCGAGTGCGTGGATCGGTTGGGTCTGGTTGCTGTGTTTCTCGATCTGTATGTGTGGTTTGATTCTCTGATTTGGTTTAGTTCTGGGTTTCTTATCTCGTGGTGGGTTTGCCTTGGCTGGAGTTTTTGGGTAGTTTCCAACTTTTTTGACAGTTGGCTGTGCGTTGCGTTTTAATTTCTGCTCAGAGACTTTGATCTTTCCTTTCGTAAGACATGGTCTGCGTCAAAAGCTTCTCTTTTTCGTTTGATGATATGGGATGATTAACAGAAAGTGGTATGGATTTTGCTGGAATTGATTGTGGGCATGCGGCAACTCTAGCTTGTTCTTCTTTTATTTCTCATGATCCCCTCACTTGCGGTAAATTGCAATGTCATAGACACCCAATCCATCGTCCCCAATATTAGTTGTCCAACCCAACAATGCAAACGCTTGGATGTCTGCTTCATTATGTGGAAATAGAGGCTCTGCATGATTTGTAGTGATCTAGATGGGGTGAAATCCTGAGATGCTTCTTTTCAAATGCTGGCTGGTTTTGAAGTTTAAAGGTTTTGGTGTTACATATTGTTGTTTGCATTTGTGAAGATGGAATAGAAGTAGCTTGAAGCTGCAAGACAAGGAAAATGATTTCTTGAAGTTTGAATTGTTGGACTTATGGTTCTAGATTTGTTGAAAGGAGAAAAAACAGAAAAATCGATTTACAATTTACAGCTTCTTGCAATTGAGAAGAATAATTAGGAATGTTGAAGTATTTGTTCTGCACATTTGAAGTGGCGAGTAGTCTTGTGCCTTGATTAAGCTCCTTATTTTGTAGCTACTTGCAGATTAATACTTTTTGAAAATGGCCGATGCTGAGGATATTCAGCCCCTTGTCTGTGACAATGGGACCGGAATGGTCAAGGTTGGTTGCTGCCATTATCTGTGAAAATTTAGCGAGTTGATTTTCCTGGTTTTCGAAATATGACTAGCTAAATGGTCTCTTTATTATTTGTTTACAGGCTGGATTCGCCGGTGATGATGCACCTAGGGCAGTGTTTCCCAGTATTGTTGGTAGGCCCCGGCACACTGGTGTCATGGTTGGAATGGGTCAGAAGGATGCCTATGTTGGTGATGAAGCCCAATCTAAAAGAGGTATTCTTACCTTGAAATATCCCATTGAGCACGGTATTGTCAGCAACTGGGACGACATGGAGAAAATATGGCATCACACCTTCTACAACGAGCTCCGTGTTGCTCCGGAAGAGCATCCCGTCCTTCTAACTGAAGCGCCTCTCAATCCGAAGGCAAACAGAGAGAAGATGACTCAAATCATGTTCGAGACTTTCAACGTGCCGGCCATGTATGTTGCTATCCAGGCTGTTCTGTCTCTGTATGCCAGTGGTCGTACAACTGGTACGGAATATTTTCTTTTCCCTCATATTTCATATTTCTAATCTTGCCCTTTTTCGTTTCAAGTCAAGTTTTCCCTTGTTAAATATATATATTTTTCATTGAAACAGGTATTGTGCTTGATTCTGGTGATGGTGTGAGCCACACTGTCCCAATCTATGAAGGTTATGCTCTTCCCCATGCCATTCTCCGTCTTGATCTCGCTGGTCGTGATCTTACTGACTCACTAATGAAGATTCTCACCGAGAGGGGTTACATGTTCACCACCACTGCTGAACGGGAAATTGTCCGTGACATGAAGGAAAAGCTTGCATACGTTGCCCTTGACTACGAGCAAGAGCTGGAAACTGCTAAGAGCAGCTCCTCGGTCGAGAAGAACTATGAGCTTCCTGATGGACAAGTAATCACAATTGGGGCCGAGAGATTCCGCTGTCCAGAAGTCCTCTTCCAGCCATCATTGATTGGAATGGAAGCTGCCGGCATTCACGAGACAACCTATAACTCCATAATGAAGTGCGATGTTGATATCAGGAAGGATCTTTATGGAAATATTGTGCTCAGTGGTGGTTCTACTATGTTCCCGGGTATTGCAGACAGGATGAGCAAGGAGATTACTGCTCTTGCTCCGAGCAGCATGAAGATTAAGGTGGTGGCGCCGCCAGAGAGAAAGTATAGTGTCTGGATTGGAGGGTCAATCCTTGCATCTCTCAGTACCTTCCAGCAGGTAGAGATTGTTTCTCGCAATTTGCTTTGCTTTAGTTTTTTAAACTACGTAGCTATTTGGTCTTTGTGGTGGTTACAATCATGTTTGCTTTTTGGCTTGGTACTAACCCACTTGCTTTACTTTCAAATTACCAGATGTGGATTTCCAAGGGTGAGTATGATGAATCTGGTCCATCCATCGTCCACAGGAAGTGCTTCTAATCCCAGCAAGGTCTTTGTTGGTGAGCTATTTGTTGGCTTTTTTCTGTCATGTCTTGCGAACTCAAGTTTTATGAAGTAGCGATGGAGTTGGTGAAGGAGGGCATGGTGGGAGTTTCAATGTACTAAGCTGCTTCAAGTATATGATTCCTCATTGTGATCACCCATCTCTGAGAAGCTACTTTGCAACAGTCCTCTCTGTATGGAGCGAGCCAAAAGTTGGTATTGAAGTTCTTGCCAGTCATAGTCAGATTTTGTCTCTAGTATGTCTTTTAGAGGGATTGGGATTGTGGTGCATCTTCTTAATTGCTCATTTTGGTCGTATATTAAGGTGTTTTTTACCCTGGATATTAATGTCGATATTGTATGAGGATTATATTCGGTTTGAGGTTTGTTACTCTCCTATGAACTTTCTGATTGGAGATGTTTTTTCTTTTCCTTTTCTACTTCTCTACCATAAATCTACTTATCTTGTCCTAAACGTGCTGTGCCATGCTGCAAATACACTCTAGCTGTTACTCTGCAGAAGGTTGTTGATCTTTCTTTCTCCTGGAAGTACTTTGCTGAGTATTGTCTGTTGGAATTGAGAGAATCGAGAAAATGAGAGCAAGATCAAGGGCCGACGACATCCGAGCTAAGTTTCACAGGAAATTATCTTTGTGCAATTTTCCGCCCAAATACTGATGATTGTTTGCGATTAGCAATCGTTATCATCATTTATGTTTTCATGCTTCGATGAGTGGTGTCAGGTCGGTTCAGGTTTCATTTGGAAGTTGCCCGTCGTAGCCGTAACTAGTTCTCAAATTTTTAAAATCTAAAATAGACATTACATATTCTAAAATTTAGAATCTACCACGTCACAGATTTCAGGGTTGGTTTTAGGGTCTTTTCAAGTTTACTTGTATTCTTAATTGAATGATTGTAATGAACTATCACCTCTATTGACCATCATTTGCTGGTATAATTAATTAATCACAATTTATATTTAGACACATGAAGAATATGATACGTTAACAAAATGGAAGTCTCAGTCATGGATATTAAAATAGTGGTTTTAGATTACGCATTTATCATTGGACGCTATGGAATACCGTAGGGTTGCGTGAAAACAAATAACAAGAAAAACAGAGACTTGTTCCAAGTGCTTGTCAGAATCGATTTCCCAATTTTCAGAACCTAAAATCTATTTTGCATACTTTAGAATTTGGAACCCGGAACTGGAACCAGTTTCCTTCAGTCCGGTTCTCTGGTTCTATTATGAAACAATGCTCATCCTCACATTTAAAGAAAAAGCAAAGGAAGAGATGAGGGGATGCCTTAGCGAGCGCTATCCTTCTGTTACAGGGGCAAAGCGGAAGCGGCTCAGCTGCCATAGATTGTGGTTTCATGAAGTCCTTTCATAATCCGAGTAACCAATAATTGTCTCCAAGATTGCTTGCGGAATTTGAGTAACATAAGGCTGTGCCCTCCCCCGCGAATACCATCTTCTTAGCGAGCTTTGCACCACATGTTTTGATGGGATCGCTCAAAACCGTAACATGGCACTGAACATAAACGTTTGGTAATTCAATGATTGCTGTTTCGCTTGGAGTGTCAAATACGAATGGGCTGCTCTGACAACAAAGCTGAACCAACTCCGCCCAGATTTTTGAGTATTCCCTAAGCATAATTCAACCAGTCAGAACGAAGTTACCATACTCATACAGTGAACCCACTTGGAATTATGAGCAGCAGTGCCCTCCCAATTTCGATTGACGATCTTTGAAGCAAAGTTAAATCTAGGAAAGAAGCAAATACAGTTCCTTCAGGCTTCAACCATCCATAAATGTTAGTAGTAATTCTCAAAACAAAAGTACTCGGGATTTCGCCCGTATAATATGTGTACGTTTATGGGAAACACACTGTGGGTACGATTGATAGTAAATATCTGTTTTTCTGTATGTTCTGACTTGATGAATAAAGTGAGTTAAGACTCGTATCAAACGCATAATGGAGTGTACTCAGCTAAAAGTGCCTTAATTCTGCACTCATTACACACGTATTTTCCATTCACATGATCAACTACAGTGTCGATTAGCATTTATACAAAGAAAATCTGGTCGTATCAAATCAAATACGCATACATCATGATGACAGACCAGTCGAGAGATTGAGGGAGAGAGAGAGAGAGAGAGGAATCAGACATCTGAATGAAATAAAGAAGGAAATGGGTCCTAGCAGCACTTTCTGTTAGTCTGGGAGCGGAACACAATCGACAATGATGCAAAGCTTGGTAAAAAGTAGTAAGATATGCAACACTGAAGAACAGCACATTCCATTACATTAGATGAAGAGTGAGTACAGCAGACAACTGGCTATATAGACACCTCAGATCAGATGCAGACACAACTGGATTACTTAATAGCTCCGTCCACATGGTGACTAGCCTGATACTCGAGGGATCCGGAGGACTCCTACGAAAATCCTTCATTTTTATCTAATAGCTAAGAAAAGTAAATGGCAGATAGATAATTTCTAGTGACTAATCCTTTCAAAAATTGGACAGAAATTTATTGAGAATTCCCAAACCATCTTCATCAATCAGCACCAGATGCGTGCCATCACCCCAAAGTGAGATAAGGATGATATCACTCAAGCAGCCTGTTTGGGTTGTTTCATGAGCTGTATAAATTCCCCAAAAGCTGTGGCAACAACGATAACTTCTATTAACAAGCAGTAAGAGTTCCTACTAACTACCATATTGAGACCTTTTTGAGATAGTTATAGAACATGGACCATTATTTGTATAATAATTTTCCTCAGTACAAAATTAATAAAACTGTTACAAATTTTATTCTGTGCTTTGGCCAAGATTTAGATGACCAATTGACATGAAACATGAAAGCAAAAGTATCACAATCAGCGAGACACTTACAGGTATCAGAATCATGTGGTCCTGGGGATGCTTCAGGGTGGTACTGAAGAGACATTAGCTTTAATGCAGGAAAGGCCAGGCCAGCACAGCTCCCGTCATTAAGATTTATGTGAGTCACTTCCACACCCTCTGGCAGTGTAGCAGGGTCAACTGCATAATTGTGATTCTGCAATAATACAAGAAAAGAAATCAGTACTCTTTCTGCAACAGATGTGCTGGGCTCTTTCGCTCTCTACGCTTCTTCATCTATGTTCCTCAAATCTATGAACTAGTCTCGCCACTTCTCTGGGGCACATATGTCCATATATCACAAAGTACATAAACGAGATCACAAAGTTCGATGAGAAGCACACACCTGAGAACTAATCTCCACTCGGCTATTGCGAAGGTTCCGGACTGGATGATTCCCTCCATGATGACCAAATTTCATTTTAAATGTTTTGCCACCTAGGGCTTGGCCAAGCAACTGATGACCCATGCAAATTCCAAAAACAGGGACTTTGCCAATTATTTCTTTGACACTTTCAACAGCATAAGGAACAGCAGAAGGGTCTCCTGGGCCATTGCTGAATAGAACTCCATCGGGGTTCATTTTCAGAGTTTCTGATGCTGGCCATGTCGAGGGGACTACGGTAATTTTACAGCCGTAGGATGCTAACCGCCTCAATATGTTCTGCTTGATCCCGAAGTCATACGCAACGACCTTCAATTGATTAAGAAACATAACGATACATTTCAAATTTCAATCAAATTGTACAAAGAATCACTGGTTTAAGAGTTTGGATATGGCACTGACTCGAAGTTTATCTCCACCCCTGCCACCCGAGTTGAACTCCCAGTCTGAGTTTGTTTTATCAACCCATTCATAAGGAGCATCACATGTAACCCCACTGATCAAATCGACACCTAAAGACAAGATAAAACTCAGTATTTCAAACTTACGAAATTCACAAGCCATTTTTATCCATTTAACCAAATTCTCACCAACGATGTCCCATGAACGTGACATTTCCAAAAGTTCCTCATCTGTCTTTGATTGTTCTGTGCTCAATACACCAATAAGGCTTCCATCTTGCCTTAATCTGCGGGTGATTGCACGTGTGTCGACGTCATCTGCAACAGAAATAAAGGCAACAACATGAGTTCAATGAACTAGTACAAAGTAAACGACTATTGGTAATTTATCTTGATAATTTTCAAAGCATTACGCCAGCTATGACTCACATATTCCCATGATATTCCTTTCTGCCAAATAATCACCCAATGTTTTCGTGCATCTCCAATTTGATGTGCTGCACAATCCAGGGAACTAAATCATGTAAAGTTTGGAGTCTTATTTTCACAACACCACAGGAAATGGAGGAGAAACTTGCCTGATACTTAAACTTCGAATGACAAGGCCGGCAAGGAAGCATTGCCTCGATTCTTCATCATCTGACAAGGAGTCAAAGGCTCAGATATTAAGCTACCACCAGAACGAGAATGCTTGGAAATATCTTCACTTACCGAAATTAACCCCAGTATTGCCAATATGTGGGTTTGTCATCAGGACAAACTGTCCAGCATAACTTGGGTCTGTAAGAATTTCTTGATACCTGAAATTCAAGGAATGACAGATGTTGGACTTCACAAACAAAATGGGGCAGAAGAACATCTCCATCTTGTCTGATGACACAGGATGGGAAAACTTAATTTGAAGAACGCTGTTAACTCATGCATGAGATCTCCAGCTATAAGCACGAGAAACTACCTAAAAACCAAGTTGGCTTGCTGAACAACACTTTCCAAATACTACGAAAAGAGTATAATCAAGAAAAGTGTTCTCCAACCATTAGAAAGCAATCTTACCATCTTGATATGATGAATAACTACAGTAAAAAAATAACAACTGAACAAAAACAACAACAAAGAGTCCTCTCATCTCCTATAAATCACTCATTCTGCAAACAAATTGCTTGAGAAATGATAAACACGCCAACAGTGAAGTTGAAACAGAACCACCTAAAACTAATTTATGAAGGTGAGATGGCTATCCAACTTGACAGATCACATGTAAGTCATATTGTTTTTTGCCAAATTTTATTAGGTTCTCTTTTATCTCGTCTTTTAAAAGTGTCTCCTGACTTTTCAGGAAACATCATTTCACCTTGAATGCATAAGTTTTTTTAATTGGGTCAGTTTCCTTTGGAGATTGTCAACTCTTATTGATAAACCAAAATGATTTTGCTACAGACAATTGTTTATACTCATTCTGAGCAATCTTTATCTGTCTGACTTTTTCTTTTGTGTACTTCTGCAAGGTTGTCACTTCCTCGTTTCCTTAAATAAAGAAATTTTGACTTTAGCAGGCTAACAATTTATGTTTTGAAGTAAAGAAGAAGCATGCACAATGGCCACTCAACTGGTTTAAGAGAGGAAAAACACTAGTACGCAGGTCATCGGCAAGAGAAAGAATACAAACATTAATTTCTTGGGCTTTTGACACCTATATGAGGAGACAAATCTTTTTCTCCTTCTCTCATGAAAGTTAGATCAACATCAATTTGAATGTAAGTCACTCCACTAACTCCTAATTTCTGCTTAGGGTCTCCCTCATTGTTTAAATGTCCTTCTCTGATCTTCTTTCAGATTACTAGAAACTAACTTTCATAGCCTAGAAAAGAAGTATGTAGCTGAAGAAGTGAATTCTGACACCTTACCAAGCCCAAGTGGACACACATGAAGTTTGTTTTTGACATATGAAGAGGAGAGCCCCCTTGAATTAGCATCGATATCAGAGATTAATTAGTTTCGATCTTAGTTATTTATATTAATCTGGCTATTACAGAAAGTCAATGCCGAAGCAGAGAAGAGAGATCTCCAGTATTGTGCCAATGAACACATGCAAAATGATCTCCTTTTACACTTACATAGTCAAATCAAAGATAACATACTTCATCATGACTTTTCTCTAGAAGATACTAAAGCTCTCTCATTATCTTTGCAGTTTAAAATAATTTATATTATTGAATTGGGGTAGATGTACATATTTAGTCCTTTAAGTTTCACCATTTGTTGGCTATCTAGCTTTTATTTTGTTCAAAAAAATCCTCTGATTTTCTAGGTTTGTGCGATTTAGTCCTTTAAGTTTTATTTTGTGCAATCAAGTCCTCTAACTTTCTCAATTTGTGCAATCAACTCCTTAGGTCAACCACTCTACCAAACTGTCAAATTCATTAATGACGAGACATTGCTTATGTGACAAAAAATGATACATAATGCTAATTTGGTGCCGAAAGAGCAACAAAACAGACGGGAAAAACAAGTAAAATGAGATCCTAATTTGATAGTATTAGTTACAGTGGGTAAATAAAGTACTTGATTGCACAAATCAAGAAAGTTAAGGGGATTGATTGCAGAAAGGAAACTTAGAGGACCAACTCGCCCAAATCCAAAAATGTTAGACTTCCATCAAAGCTTTCATGTATCTTGATTTGTGCGCATGTCTAATTAAGTTATGTTATGAGATCTATTTGCGAACAATGACGACGACAACAAATCAAATGTTGTCCCACTTATTGGCTATGTGAATCTTTTTACACCATTGTGCTTGATTGCGAATAAAGATTTTTGAAATATGCACAATCCAAATCCTTCCTTGACATCTCTTCCACGTGTTTTTAGATGTTTCCATGCTCTTTTATATCTATTATCCATCGCTGAACATGTCTCCTCATTAGACCACCATAGTTCCATTTCAATGCGATTAAATCATCCCAGCCAAGCTTCTCTCATCTTATCCTTGAATGAGGTGGCACCTACTCTCCCTCTAATAAGGTCCTCTTCCATCACATTTTTTTCTCAAGTACCCACACATCCGAAGAAGCATTCTCATTTCACTACGCTAATTTTTTTGCACATGTTGATGTTTAACTGCCATAAAGCATCGCTACGTTATTTATACTGGGAAATGCGTACAACCAATATCATATACCGAGAATTTCAAGTAGAAAATAAAAATGTATAAGAGGAATCCTCTTGTCTTGTACGAGCAAAAACAAAACCATGCATCCAGACATTCTTTAACAAATGTGAGGAAATTCATGTAACACTTACATATGACTAAGGAAACAACTTATTAAAAACATCTTAGTACCCGGTCAAGGAGGTGTTGAAAACAACTTCACCAACTTGTGTTCCGGAAGCCCCAAACGACTTGGCCCTCCAAACAGAACCATCCGCCAGGACCAGCCTCGCATCAGCCAGCTTCCAGGGCCTTTCTTGAACAGCTGGGGCTCAAAAAAGAAAAACCGGTCATATCATATATTACAGAACGGCGCAGGCATATAAACAAACACGTTGTGGGCAATCCGAAACACCTTGGAAACAGAACAATTCAAAGAACAACCACCACCCACAAGAATCACCCAGATGAAGTCAATCAAGAAAAAGGGATTGGAGTGGATACCAGCGAAGGCGTCGTGAGAAGAGGAGAGAGGAACTGAACATCTGACGACGAAAGGCCTGGACTTTGATGGGTTTTTCGTAGATGGGTTCGTGACGAAGCACCTCACCGCATAGTTTACTGTCGCCATTGCTCAAGCTCTCTCTCTCTCTCTCTTTCTATCTCTCTCCCTCTGTCTGAAGTTCGTTCTACGTAGTTGCCGAAACAAGTAGGACAGAAACCCTAACGAGATTTATAAAAAAAAATTATTAACTACCAAACAAATCTTTTGGCTGTAAAAAAATGCTTTTGTTTTTTACAAATAAAGATCAGTCCGAACCTTTTTTTTTTTGTCTCTTATAAAAATTACAAACTTTAACTTAAATCTCAAATTTAACTCAAATAATTTAAAAATTTATATCAGGAGGGGCAAATTTAAGTGTGACATCCGGAAATTTCGTAATTATATGTTTGTGACGTTAGAAATTTCTATGTTTGAAAATGATACTTAGATTTAAAGCTAAGTATTATTTTCGAGTTAGTATTCGTGTGGACGCGTAGGAATTTTCGTTGGATCGTATTTCGCGAAGCGCGGATTCGGATACGTAATCGTACCGAGTCCGACGTGTTTCATATTTAGACGTTGTCGTGTGCGTTAATCGTAGTGCGGTATTAATTAGATTACCGTCGTCTTGGTAATTAGTGGGCATTATTATTATTATTATTGTTTTATCTTAGTTAAGTAAGGTTATTGCCGTAAGAAAAAGAGGGAAGAAATCTGCTCAAAAATATCCTCTGGACTCTTATTTCCCTCACGTGGCTGTTGAAGAAGAGTTGACCGAATGCCATTTGTCCCCTTGGGCTAGACACCTAAGCCTTGGGTAATCATTTCCCTTGGCCAATACTCCTACGATTAAGCTGCTGATTTCTTCCACCTGGCCTTGATGAAGAGATAAGATGCCACCTGTGAATACAATGAATTTACCCACCCCTTCGAATACCTCTCCGTTTTCACTTTCGCCTGGGTAATTACCGAAGATCATTTTCACCCAAACCCATACTCTCTCCTTCACTTTCTACTCTCGCCATCACCGATCCAAAATTTCCGGAAGAGTTTTAACCTTTGGGGTGTTCAGATTCTGTTCAAGGTAAGTGAAAATTCTAGGTTTAAGCTAAGTAAATCTACTTGGCACTTGCAACTTGGTTGCTTGAGAAAGGTTATTTTGAGGTGCAATAGTGAGGTTGTGATGATGGTTGAATCTGTTTTGCTGGTTCTGTGCAAGTTCAAATGGATGTGATTTGTTTCCTTAAAGTATGGCGATAATATCGGCAAGCGGAACGATTAAATCGGAATGAGTAAGTGTAAATTTTGAGGTGATTGTTGGATTCTTACTATTGGTTTATGTATGTTTAAAAAGGGTAGAAAATCGTTTTACTCAAAGTGATGATTATGTTTATTGTGATACTCAAAGTGCTGATGATGTTTATTTGATTCTCCAAGGGATGTTTTTTTGTTTATTTTTTAAACTGGGCAGATTTTTAATCCTCAAAATTTGGTTTTGTGTACCTTGAAACTGCTAAGACTTTGTTATCAAAATCTGGTTCTGTGTACTTTTGAACCTGCTCAGACTTTGCTATCAAAATCTGGTTCTGTCCACTTTTGAAAAATATTCAGATTTTACTTTCAGACTTTAACTTCATACTTTACCTTCAGACTTTACTTTCAGACTTTACCTTCAGATTTAACATCCAGATTTTGCAGTTCAGACTCTACTTTTAAAATTGCTTAGACTTTCTTTGCTCAGATTTTACCGTTCATACTTACTATTCAGATTTTCTTGTTCATCAGATTTTCTTGTTCGATTTACTATTCAGATTTTCTTGTTCATAATTCTTGTTTAGGTTCTTGTTCGGACTTACTTATAAAACTGATTCAGACTTTATTGTTCAGAACCTACTTTTGAGTCTGAATTAGGTTCTGAGTCTGAATTTACTTCTGAGTCTGAACCCGCCTCTGAGTTTGAATTTACTTTTGAGTCTGAATTAGGTTCTGAGTCTGAATTTACTTCTGAGTCTGAATCCGCTTCTGAGTCTGAATCTGTTCCTGAGTCTGAACTTGCTTCTGATGACTCGAATTTGCTTCTGAACCCCAAATTGCTTATGAGCTGAGTTGCTACTGAGTTTGAAATGTATTGTTTCATGTTTAAATTGCTCGGATGATGCATTTCATGGCTTTAAAGTACAAAAACCGTGATGGCTCGGTATGGGACGGGCCAAAGCGGACTTTTGCATACAAATACTTGGTTGTCATGACTTGCATGGGAATAATATTAATTCCGTCGCCCATTTAGTGGTGTGTGATGATGCCCCGTGTGTCGGGATGCCCCGTTGGTCGGGATGCCCCGGGGAGTGTTTCGGGATGCCTCGGGAGTCGAGATGCCTCGTTGGTCGGGATGCCCCGGGTGTGTGCCGGGATGCCTCGGAGTTGGGATGCCCCGTTGGTCGAGATGCCCCGGGAGTGTTCGGGAGGATGAAGTAATGAATCTAATCGAATGAGCATAAATGTTTTACATCATGCTTGCGGTAAGTGAAAATATCATGGTATGTTGCATTATTCAGATTTTGCGGCACATCCAGACGGAAAAGGTATAACTTGCATTCAAGTTCTATGCGTATCGTTTGCTATGCATGCGTATGTGTTCAGGCCAGGGGTAGTGGTAAGCTGATTTTCCTAACTTAAAACTAGAGATTTCATTTGCTGGGCTTCGGCTCATTCCATCATTTTTTCAGATATGTAGGATGGATGTTCCACAGCCCCTACGTTTTGGAGTTCCTGTTCATTTTGATGCTGTTTATGAGGATGTGTTTGCGCCGGAGCTTGACGCTGTATATACTAAGTGTAGTTCTACGATATGGGTTGATGTGGGGCTTCCGGAATGGGTTTCTTATCTTTTTGTTGCTTGGTATTTCAACTTGGAGGGCGAGTTGATTGGCCCGTTGAGGGGCTTTGACCTAGACGATGGTGGTTCCGCAGCGGAGGGTGAAGTGATCGACCCGTGACAGCTTCGGACTTTAGGCAGACTTTTGGATGAAGGTTCTAGTTGGAGATAGGCAACCCTGACCTACCCAGTTTTTGTTTTTTGTACTTGTTTAATGCTTTGTCTGAGTTGTAAATCTGACAAGGGTTTATTAATGAGAAGAAAAAAATATTTTGACTAAATTTATGTGATATTCATGTCTAGGCTTTGTTTTCTGCTGGTCAATTTATTAATAATACTAATTGGTACGTGTCGCGCGTGACGTTCTGGGGCGTCACATTAAGACTCGAGTAAAAGTTAGTTCTTTTTATTGAGAAAAAAAAAGTTCGGACCACGATTGTCGCTCGAGATAAAATTTGTATTTTTTTTTTAATTAGCCCAAGTCTACTTTTAATTTTATTTTATAAATATCATGATTAAGACTTGCTTTAGTGAATAAATAAATAGACATATTTGAATATGTTTTTGTATGATGATGTCTTGTGACCACAGAATTAAAACCGATATTTTTCAATACCCGATTCTTTAATAGATTAACATGCGATGAACAAGACTATAACCGATTAAATTATCAAAAACCATTACTGTGAAAAATTAAAAAAAAAACGCTAACAAATTTAAAAAAATAAATTCAACAGAGAAAGAAAACGTAAAGAGTCGCGTGGCGAATATATGTATAATCTGGAATACAAAATTATCTCATAAAAAGTCTTGAACAATTTCCCTCCGAAACATCGATACACACAACCCAAAAACACCTTCCTTTAAACTTTTGAGCATAATGTCCTCGAAAAATAAATATGATGCAATGACATCCATAGAGAACAACATGTAAACGAAACCGACATAATAATGGACACACAAGTTCGGGGATGCACATTTCCCAAACCCGATCTTTGCCACCGGCCACATGGACGGAAAGGTACTTTGGGGCTATCGGTACAAATTCCGGGTATCGATGAGATGAAAAAAAAAAAAAATCAATCTATTGGTGTCGAAATGGGGAAAAATTAGGATATATTTTTTTTGTTTACCTTGTATAATTATTTCACCAAAACAAAAAAAGAAAAGAAGAAGAAATTTTCTTTTTTCCATTTTTGACTTGCCAAAACCCTAACCATGGCCACTCTCAAAAGCCCCTCGCCATTTCTTGAACTCCATGACAGAGAAGAAGAAGAAGAAGAAGAAGCAAGAAGCAGCAGCGATGATCCGCAGAAGGCTCTCTTCTCTGCTCTCCTCTTCCCTCTCCAGACCCTCCTCCCTCCCTTCAAGACCTCCGCCGCCGCGACCCCCTCGGCCGCCGCCGCCGCCGCTCCCGTCCCCGCCGTCGCTCCGGTTTCGGTCCCCGCGGCATTTTCACCTGCTCCCGAGCCCTGCGCTCGCCGGCCCCGGGCAATGCGGCGGCGGCGGCGGCGGCGGCGGCGGCGTCAGGGCCTATAGCTTGCTGAGCTTGAACGACCTGAGGGACAAGCAGCCCAAGAAGCAGAAGAAGCGGAAGGGGCGCGGGATCGGGTCCGGGCTGGGGAAGACCGCGGGGAGGGGCCACAAGGGGCAGAAGGCGAGGGGGACCATGAAGTTCGGCTTCGAGGGCGGGCAGACCCCGCTCCGCCGCCGCGTGCCGAAGCGGGGTTTCAAGAACCCCTTCAGCCTCACTTTCCAGGTGCGAGCTTCGTGGGTCGATTTCAGCGCCTTCTGTTTTGTTCTCGTGGAGCGATTGGAGATGTGGTCATTGCTGTGTCGTGGGTCTGATCGTCGGCTCGAGTTGCTTGTGGATTGTGGGTGATGGCGCTGACATTTTGAGAGTGGAAATCGTTGTGACGATTATGGAGTGTGCTGCTTCTGCTTTTGGATGTTGTGCATTTGAATGTCGCACCATATGATTGGGCGGAAGTTTAATCCGACAATATCAATATGAATTGCTAGCATTTTTCTGGGACAGCTCACTGGTAGTGGTAGTAGTAGTGCTCTCAGAGGTAGTGAGCACAAGGTGTTAGCTTGACCATTGGGTTGTCACTGTTGGTCTGGGACAGCAAAAGCTGGGTAGATGTTGCTCATATAATGTCTGGCGGCAAAGAAACGTTGATTTAGTTGATCCTTCTAATGATTTTTTCCCCTAGATTACGGTTTACAGATATTACTAGATCGAATATCATAGCCATCTCTTTTACTTTCTACTGTTGTGATTGTGCTAGATGATGAGACTAATTAAGAATGCTTTATCTGCGCTATTTTTGACTGATTTTACTTCAGACAGTTATATCTATTTTCAGCCTTTTCGAAGGAGCAATTGTATTTTGTTTTTCCTGACTCCCTGCCCTCTTTGCTTGGTTGTTTACTCCTACCTGCTATGGCAGCCTGTTGGATTGGGAAAAATTGCAAAGCTCATAAATGCTGGGAAAATTGATTCCTCTGAGTTAATTACGATGAAAACTCTCAAGGTATTGCCATTACATATACTTGAATTTCAGCTATGTATATTATGAACATCGCTTCAAATTGGTTACTATTGTTCTTGTGATAGGATGTAGGGGCTATAGGGAAGCAGATTAAGGATGGAGTTAGATTGATGGGACGAGGTGCTGAGCAAATACAGTGGCCAATTCACCTGGAGGTAACTATGTTTCTAAAACTCTTGCTTTCTTACTGACCCTGGTTTTTGTGCTATGCAATCAACGAAAATGTCCTCATTTACTTTCGGTTCCTTTTTGTTAGACGCGATGAAATGTACTAATGGGGTCACAAACTCTTCTGGAAGTGAACTTAAGGTGTCGAACCTTGGGAAATGAGTCATACTAGGGGAAAACGATGACTCTTAGATTGAATACAATTCATTTTTACTCCGCTAAAAGTTCATGAGGTATAAGGAATTAATTCAGCAACAAAGTAGGTCTTCATTGTCCTTGAAGAAAATAAAAAATAAATTTTAAATCGAGGTCCTGTGGTTTCTCCTCCTCCACATATTCAAAAAGCATGAGTGGTATCAGTTTGTTCTTTTGTGTTCGCATGGGGTGCCCGACTCAGAGCCAGTCGACATGTATAGTTAGATCCATTTGTTCATCCAAAAACTTAAGTCAATGGGCTAGTTAGGATATATTAAGTATACTATATCCCCAATGTGGCGCTTCTTTTGCCTAACACTCTTACACGTGCACCTTAAAAAACTTCCCCCCTCATGTGTGTGCGCCTCTCGCGTTAGGCCTGCTCCCTGTTAATCTAGGTATCCTTCCACACCAACATTATCATCATTTGAGAATCTCCACTTTGGCCCATACCATTTTGGCAAGATATTCGTGAGCACAAAGTCTACCCTTCATACTCCGCCTCAATTGGCTTGGCCTAGCCTAGCTTAGCAAGAAGCCGGGGACACCATTCACCACCTCGATTAGGGAGTCATGTCCGAGATTTCCCTCTCTTGAGATATATACCAGACATCGATACCTTTTGTTGGTCGATGTAGTAGAGGCCTGACCTTTATAGGGGGAGATCACGAAAGCGGGAGCCCAATTCCGAGTCTGTCAATATATCTAGTTGGACCTTCACTCAAAAGCTTAACCTAATGAGTTATGAGCCAACAATGATATCTTAACTACGTCACATTACAACACATCCCCTATGTGGGATTTCTTTCACTTAATATGCACCTTAAGAAATGGATCCTCCAGGCAATTTAAAGGAAGAATTCAGCTTATTTACCTTCTCTAACAATGACGGCAACTGCCAGGGCCTCTTCAGATTTCTTTAACTTCTCCAAGACAAGTTCCTTGGCCATTTAAATAATTCCTGGGTGATAGAAGGCCTTACGACTCGTGATCTCTGATTTAGGATAGGTAAAGGATGCCTTATCATTGGCTTGAAAAGTTTTTAGTTTTAAAAATTCGCTTAAGTAAACTCATCATAATTGTTTGGTTATTTGAATTCCTTTTTCATAGGTGACAAATATAAGTTCTTTCTTCGTCTGACATTTGTTTACCTGCTTCTCAAGGTTCTTGATTGACTTTGTTGTGCTGGTGCGAGTCACCTTTCTTGGACGAACTTATTTTCTAATTGATGTTGACTATGTTTATTTCCTCTTGTATATTTGTGGTATTTATATGGTTAAATTATCTTTCTTGTTAAGTGCTTAATTTAGCAACATGTACTTGATTACCTTGTACATTTAAGTGCATAGCCCATATGTTATGTTGCCAAAGAGTAAGCTCAAAGCTCGCCTTTTCTCAAGGATTGTTCTACTGCAATTTATTTGTGGGTCCACAGGCCAAAAGCAACATGCTAACTGATGTTTCCTTAGTATGATAACGCCAATCGTTTTGACACTTTGAATAATCAAAAGCTCATAGCGCATGCTTAATGCTACACTTTGAATAATTACACTTTGAATAATTAAATGCTCATAGGGCATGCTTCATGCTCGTGAAAGAAAACTGACAATTTTTGATTGAGTTCCCAGGTGACAAGGGTTACTGTACGGGCGAAAGCAGCAGTAGAAGCTGCCGGCGGTTCCATAAGAAGAGTGTACTACAACAAGTTGGGCTTGCGGGCATTGGTTAAGCCAGAGTGGTTTGAGAAGAAAGGCAGGTTGCTGCCGAAACCAGCCAGGCCTCCTCCGAAACAGATGGACAAGGTCGATAGCATAGGCCGGTTGCCTGCCCCGACAAAACCCATTCCGTTCTTAACCGAGGAAAATGAGGCCGTGGCTACTCTGTCATGATGGTTGAACGAACGAATTGATGGCGATTCAAAGCGTCCTCAGTTTTTGTTTAATAAATTTGCAGGCTAGATTATGTAAGCTTTCTAGATATTTCTTCTTTTGGTGATTGTACGCAGATGGATGAAGGAAAAAAATGCTGGAACTCGGGTTCTACTCATCTTCATCTGCTTCCTCTTATGAGGACTGTAATTTCTCTCTACATGTTTCTGTTCATTCTTTTGAAGACTCTCGGAGTAGTTGTCCCGTGTTTTCACCCGATAGCGCGAATTTTTTCCTCCGGAAATCAATGGTTAATCGGGAGTAGAGCTTCGATTATTTCACAAAAAATAAATGATTTGTTCCTAAAAATGGTTGTTTATATTTCTTTAAATAATTAGTTGATTTTGACCAAAAAAAATAATTAGTTGATAAAAAATATTTTAATTATTGATAACAATCTATGTGAATATTTTTGCGGAAGATGAAAATATTTGTTCTCCATACATTTTTGTAAGTAATTTGAACGATTATCTTTTGAAAAGCGTTTTTCAAATTATTTATTTTTTGCGAAACAAATGCACTTTAAATTTTATGTCGCAATTATAACTTCTTGGCAATTGCATTTTTCGATTGGTAGGTATTTCGCGTTACGTGGTCAATTTATTAGTTGCATCACCAAATCCTAAAATTTGGGAGGATAAAACTTTCAATCACAAAAAACTTTCACAATTTTTTTTTGCCCCGAAATGTCATTGCACTCCCAACTTTTCTTATGTTTATTAAATTTTTTCTTTACTTTTACTTCTTTTCAAGAGAGAAAAAAGAAAACATTGATCCCCCAAAAAACAAGGAGAGAAAATAGGAAAACAAGAAAAGAAAGTGAATTGTGGAAAAATTTCAAGTGTAAATGGAACTTTACAATTTAAAACAGAGCATAAGTCCATGAAAGAAGAAGAAGGAAAGAAGAAGGAGACGAGACTTAAGAGTGAGCCGGTTTCAACCACAAAAGCAAAAAGCCACCGTAGCCCCATGCCCCATGAGATACCCGGCTCTTCTCTCCCTCTCCTGAAGCGTGTTCTAAAGAGAGAGATGACTGCAGGAGTCGTGGGTCTTGGACTGGGTGGGTTCGCCATCAAGAACTCTGCGTCGGGCAGCTCAAAGTCGAGGCCTTTCGCCGCCGCAAGTTCGGTCCCTCTCTCTCGCACCCACGTCGCTTCCGCAGGTGAAAGCCACTTCTTTTTCTTGTTTTTCCTGTTTCCATCTCATCCCCATCTCGTTTCTTGCCTGTTGATTTGAAATGGGTGCTTCTTGAATGGGTTTGGTTTAATGCTGGATGGATCTTTTTTGTGTTTTTTGGTGCTTCAGGAGCACAGGTTGGCGAAGGTGTTCTCAGCAGTCCCTTGCTTGGGTAAGAAGAGCTTATTTTGTGTTGTATGCGTTGCTTTTGTCGGTTATTTGCTCATCCTATCTTAGTTTATTTGATGCTGGTGTTAGTTCATGGTGTGTTATCTAGTTTGCGTTTGCCTGCCTTGAGTTGGAATACATAAAGAGCATCGACCCACATAGCAATGACAAGGTGTTACCCCATTAAGCGGGTTACTTTTTCGTCATTGCTCTGCTTTCTTCTACTCCCTCTTAGTTCTTCCCTACTCCTTTCAAGTTTCAATACGTGTATCCATCCTAGAGTTGCATACTTGGATTGGAGCATCCATTCGCTGGATGTGCATACTATATTGGGGCAACACCGCTTTTTCTATTAACATCATCATATCTTTTCCTGAAATGCCCGCACGTCCAATGAAGCATGCGCATCTTCGCTACGCTCATTTTGTGCACATATCAATGTTTGACCGCAAGTATTTTGTGGAGAGTCAGGCATCGTTGCATGTATCATCTAATCAAATCTGTGCTCAAGCTAATTCTTTCGACACTATATGTGTCTCTCCACCTCGTCCATGCTGCTTATGTTGGAGATTCACTGGTGATTTCTCTGTCGTTTTTCTAAATGGTTCCTAAATATCTCTCTCTGGAATCAAGAGAAGATAGAAGACCGAAATTTAGAATTGAAAAATACATCTTCTTGGAAGAGCACTAAAAGAAATTGATGCGTTAATGAAATGAATCAGACAGATTTTGGTCCATCTTCACCACAAATCTTAGTAAAAAAAAAGTTCAGATTCTACAAAAATCGACTTGTTTGATTTCTGCGGGCTGCATCATTGATGAATGTGGAGTATACTGAAACTGTCTTGAGAGCAGTTGCCAGCAAGGCAAAAGCTGCAGGAGCACTCATATGTTGTTTAGGATGTCCTAGAATAATTAATCTATACACCCCAGATGTAGAAAGACTTGGGAGGAGGTGATAATTGAGACAATATCTGCTCCTTAATGCAATATATGGTTTGTAGGCGCATAAAAGTATTTAGCATGCCATTTTGGAGGGTTGCAAGGGCAAGTCTAGAAATTGAGTATCCCGGCTCTTTTAATACAGGGTCACTAGCAAGGTATTTAAGGAAAATATTTGCTTGGTGGTGTTGTTTCTGTTTCCGGCAGTTCTTTTCCTTATTTCTTTGGGAGCTTTTAGGTTGATGGGTGCTGATTGTAAGTTATCAAACGAAATTTTGTGGAGATGAACGCAAAATGGAAAGCACGCTGGTTAAGGTGGAGCAAGTTTTGAGAGAAAGGAAGTAGTTCGCAAATTATAGTTGTTGAAGTAAGTACGATTTGATGATTAAAAAGTTGAACCTTATGAATTTTGAAACTGTGCACCGTGTGAGGATCTCAATTTTTTTCAGTCAGGATTTTGATACCGAGCCTTTGTGGTTTTCCGTTTTGCTATATGTCCTACTTCTATTGTTAAGGGGCATGTTTTGCTTCTTTACCTTTAGTACAAAGAGATGCTCTAATGTATGGTTATGATATTTATGCTTTCTCCCAAATGTGCATATTTTTACTGGCAAAATATTTGAGCTGGTGTCTTCATCTGAGGGTTAGTGTCTCAAGCCAATCAAAAGCTAGTCAGGGAGACAGGCTCACTGAATAGTTATTGGTTCTAATGGAGTTTGAATCACTCTTCAGAAATCAAGTTCATGTCTGCAAATGCTCGCTTGTTTTATGCACCGGCATCATGGGATAATAAGTCGAAATTTCTTGTGTACGGATACGAGATAGAATTGAACCAAGTCTGCAATTATACTGGTTATGCTGAACTAGTGCTTGGAGTTTGAAGTGCTTGCTGGATTGACATGATGGTAATTGACTTGAACCGACCCAATTTTCACAATGTGTAGCACAAGAAATGGAGCAAATCCTGAATATAGGTGGTTACGACCCACTTACATGGCCAAAGTTGCAAAAGGAAGTTCTGGCCTAGTTGGGGACAATGAGGGTGTAGCCAATGAGTTGGATTATGCAACAGAGTACAGTACAGTAGACCAAATCAAAGCTTGCCTTTACCAGGCTCTCAATGGTACGAGCCCACTGGCATTTTGTCCGGTTTATGCTATTCTGCTTCACTTATAATGTTTGCACTTAAAATTACTCTGTTGACCTACGAAAATATAGGATTAAATAGAGGAATTTTTGGTGTACCATCTGCAAAGAGGTCTGAGATTGAAGGTCTTGTTAGGCAGCTTGAGTCTCAAAATCCAACTCCAAATCCAACAGCGAATTTAGACAAGGTAAAGCCTTTTGAGGTAATTTATCTTAGTTTTTGCACAGCTTATTTCCTCAAGTATTTATGGCACTATCCCTTTGTCTGCAATTTCAAGGTGGGTGGATGCTGGAAGCTTGTATTCAGTACGATTACTATTCTCGGTTCGAAGAGAACAAAGCTAGGACTGCGAGATTTCATAAATTTAGGAGACTTTCTTCAGATTATATCTGTTGCTCAGGTAAAGAGACTATCAATACTACACTGACATAGCAAACTTATAGTGTTTTTTCCTTTTGAATTAGTTTGCGTAGAAATGACAGAAGTCAATGTATATGAAGCTTAAGCTATCTCCTTGTAGAAATTCTTTTCCCCTGATCAGTGAAAGGAAATACCATCAATAACTAATTCATACAAGAGGAGCTCTTGAAAACTAATGAAATAAAGTTGGTCATGGCACTTCATGGAAGCAATTGCTGCTAAAATCTAACTCCAGAAGGGAAACAAAATGATTCGGCTTTCTTAGACTGAATGAATCGGAAAAATCAGCTTTTTGCACAATCCCTGTAGCTTGGATTACTTTAAAGTAGAAGCAAATTGACTGTACTGTGAAAAATAAAAAATATTGAGGTATGGTCTTTTGATGGAACTTCAGATAGTCTATTCTTCATTGAGGAATGTTGCTCAATGTCCATTTTCATTTCACTAGCAGTAAAGTACTACCTCACAATTAGTTCATGATGTTTTGGTGATTTTGTTTGCTTTCACTAAGTTTCGACATTTGGTGATCCGAAATTGGAGGGCAAAGCAGTCAACGTGATCAAGTTCAACGCAAGGGGCTTGAACATGTTGAATGGGCAGTTGACGATTGATGCATTCTTCAGGGTTGCATCTGAATCAGTTAAACCTCTGTCACTTCTCTCGTTATTTTGTCCTTTGCTTCATGATTTGCTGCTAATCTATCATTCTGAGATATTAGACAATTTTTACTTTTACAGAGAGTTGACATTAGTTATGATAAATCAACTATCACTCCTGATCAGGTTTGTCAATATCCGCCCCTCTTTTTTCTCCCAGTGTAGGAAACCAGAACCATGAAACATTTTTTAATCTAAATGTCTCTTTTCTGGACATTTAGCCAGCTATTCTGCAGTTGAAATCTGATTTTTTTTTATGCGACCTTTTTTTGATTAACAACAGTTGATGAATGTATTTCGACAAAACTACGATCTCCTCCTACGCATCTTCAATCCTGAGGGGTGGCTTGAGATTACGTATCCTTTTGAGATGAGTTTTTTGTATAGAATATATTTGCTTGATGTAGTAAACTCTGAGCTCAAGGAGGCTTTAGTTCCTTGACTGAAGCGCCACAGATATGTTGATGACACCATGAGGATAGGAAGGGATGATAAAGGCAATGTCTTCATACTGGAAAGATCAGAAGAGGAGACATGAATATCATCAGAAGCTCAATTCCCAATTGCTCTTGTTGTTCTCTGTATTCATTTTCATTTTTCCGGAATTCTTTGTAGTTGGGTTCAACCTTCGTTATTCTAAAGAAATTTTTTTATTCTGCACGTTTATTCTAGTGAATAAAATTGAGTGCCATCACTTGGCCATGGTTCTTGTTTTTGTTTTCTGCATTTCTTAAGATTTCGGTTGAAAAAAACTCGGAAATAATCTAGGGTGTGAAATTTCTTGGAAGGAGTATCCCCATGTTCCTTGTTAAAGATTTTCACATAGATGTGCAGTGAGCACCCTCAGCTGACGCAAGCCCAAAATGAAGAAACACGCTAAGAAGTTACACCGTTATGTTTTACTTATTAAAGTTGGGAAAATTATCAAAATAGTTATAAATCTATTGCAATTGTGTCAATTCAGTCCTAAACCTGTTTTTGTGTCAATTCAGTCTTAAATCTTTTGCATTTGTGCCAATTCAGTCCATCTGGCTAATTTTGGCCGGCCGGCGCTGATGTGGACGTCGGCCGGTTGGCCAACGCTGACGTGGCAATTTTTAAAAAGTACTTTTAATTTTTTTCGAAATTCTTTTATATTTATATTTTTTTCCTTTCTCTATTTTTTTTTTGGCCTTTCCTTCTTCCCCTGGCCGGTGGTCGGACCGGCCAAAGGCCGACCTCACGGGCCACTGGGGAGGCTCGCCCTCGCCGACACTGGCGAGGGCGGAGCTCGCCATGGCTGGGTGAGGTCGACCTCGCCCACAGCCATGGCGAGGTCGAGCTCGGCCAACGGCGGCGAAGGCAAAGCTCGCCATGGCTGGGCGAGCTTAACCTCACCCAAATCTGGCGAGGTTGAGCCTCGCCATGGCTGTAGGCGAGGTCGAGCTCGCCCAGCCATGGCGAGCTCCTCGCCGGCAAGCCTCCCCCTAGCCGGACCAGCCAGGGGAAGAAGGAAAGGAAAAAAAAAAAAAAAAGAGGAAAAATATAAAAAAAATTTTGAAAAAAATTTAAAAATAATGTTTAAAAATTGCAACGTCAGCGTTGACTGGCCGGCTGACGTTCACGTTAGTGCCGGCCGGCCAAAATTGACCGAATGGATTGAATTAATACAAATACAAAATATTTATGACTGAATTGGCACAATTACAATATGTTTATGACTGTTTTGGTAATTTTTCCTATTTAAGTTCTACTATGTTTTCCACCAGGGAGAAGTCAAGACGGTTTGCCACGCCCAAGTATCAATTTTTTCTCTGGTTGCTGATGCGTTGGGCTCCACAGATTCTATTCATTAGCAGTTCCCTTGCTATTCTATTCTTGAAGAGTCACCGTGATGAATCTTTCAACTGATTTTGTTCAAATTGTTTGGATTTCAGACACTTTGCTCGTCTAAGTCGGGAAGGCATGCTACGAACGTATGGTCAGCGGGGTTCACTTCCGTACATAGGCACAAGCCGAAGCAACTGAATGAGTGCAAAGCACTTAAACCTAAGATACAACTGTTGATTGAGGCCAAACCAGAACTCAAACCACTAGATGGGGCCATAATCAAACGCAGCATTGATCCTTTCGTGGCTTTGACATCGCAGCGCTCTGAACCTTTCGTCAAATTCAACCAAAAAACATTGAGGATCTCTCAGTTAATCAGTCGTTATATCAGCTATTAACACCATATAAGTTCAGAGAGAGAGAGAGAGAGAGAGAGAGAGAGAGAGAGAGAGAGGTCATGACTTTGTGGTTGCGGTTGGTCAGCAGTCGAGATGTGAAGCTCAAACATTCAAGACCCAAAATCTAACGGAGTATTTAATCATAGGTAGATAAGTATCACTATTCAAACACATGATAACTTGGGATTCATTTCATACCACAAGTGCACCCCGGAACCATTTCAAAGCAAATTTTAAGCTTTGGACTTGGGTTCCGCAGATTCCTGCTGTTGCTTCCACTGCTCCGGCGTGATTGCTTTCTTGATAGAAAGGGCATGTATCTGTTTCATCTCCTCCTGAAGCGCAGCATTCACCAGGCGGTGCCTCTCCAGCAATCTCTTCCCTTCGAATTGCTCGGACACAATCTCTACCACAAAACTAGCACCGCACCTGATAACAGCATTGAAAAGCATTCAGGAGGAAAGCAAAGGAAAGGTTTGCAGAAGACAAGAACCTGGATCAAATTATCAACAAATAACTTGTTTTCGAGAGAATGATTACCCTCCAGATGTGTCAGTTACTTCCTGCAAGGAGAGAAATTCTAGTAAGTCCTAAAGCTGAAGAAAATAAAGTTACAAATGTATAAGCACAGTGAGCTAATGAGATCAAACTACAAGACGTCAATGTTCATAAACCTTCTAAGTACTCTATGATTGTTAGTTCTCAAAGCTGGTCTGATTATGCCTCTTAAGTAAATCTAAAAACTGAGTCATGATATTTTGCATTGAAAGGAAATAAAAAAAAAAAGTAAGTGGTATTTTGCACTAGATGCAGTTACATCGTGGCAATGTTCTGGTGATGAGAAACTTTTATGAACTTAGCACACAACGAGTGGCTCATGTGAAAAGAATGTCATTCTCCCAGAGCACCTCAATGTATCTCGGTGATGAGGTAGTCCAAACTACGTAAATATCTTAAACCCAAAAAACCTAAGAAATAAGGTTGCAAACATCCCATGATATTTGAAACACGAAACACAATCCATGTTAACAGAATTACATCAACCTCCCGCGCAGTTGGAAAAGAACAATATGTAAATCTTGCATCTCCATTATGAGAAGGCAATTAAATAAAAGGAGGAGGTCACATTAGAAGAAAGAAATGAGATGATATATAAGTAACACTGTGAGGAAGTATGAGAGGGACAATTTAGATCACTTCAATCCGTGTGAGGAAGCTTCTAAATAGAGCCAGAGCGAATAATTTCTCTGCATTCTAACAGGGACAATCTTAATCAACATATCAAGTTCCCAGCACCTTTGAGCAAATTTTCTATAAATGCGTAGCAAGTCAAGCATGATATTTCTGTAAGAGACATCACTAAATCCACCAAAGTGGCAGCATTTTATCATTACATATTTCAAATGCAATTCTACTAACCACCGTCGATTGTCACGTAATAGATCCTCACCAAATGATATACGTCCACGGCTAGTCTGATTAGCATTCTGAATAGATGTCATATCACTTGGCAACCCTTTTCATTCGGCAAGTCGACATTCCAATATTAGAGCATACCCTTCCCAAAAGTTCATCTCTTTATTCATTTGTTCACCCGCAGGCCAACAAAAAGGGTTCTCTTTCATTAGGAAAAGAATTTCTGGGTGCTATCACGAAACTAAATTTCACTCAGTCCATGCCACAATTTACTTGCCATACTTTTTGTTCTAGCCCTGAAACCTGATCCTCACGGTGCCTTCAGACCAATGGAATCAATACTCATTGCAGCTCATTCCTTCATTTTCCTTGCACACAACCATCTGAATCGAGTAAAAATTGCGCCTTTATCGCCCCTTTCCCCCCACAGAAAACGCACACAAAACCCATCCCTGACTATGAATTACAGCTACCAATTTGGGCTCCGAAGAAACTAAATTCTTCAATGTCTTCGACACACAGAAAAAAAACTTGCAAATTCCCAACGACCCAAAAACATCAAAACTCACATCATCAGACAAAGTTGCATCCTTAATCTTGGAACTTTACTTGCAAGACTCGGTGACAAAATTCGAATCTACATTCGTTTCAAGACAGAAACCCTGGACAACACCATCGTTGTTGGCAGCTAACGCATAGCAGCAGAAGCATAGACACAGAAAAAAGAAACCCACCCAGAAGAAAACAAAGAACTGGGTCATCTCCAGAACCAAAATTTGAGGCAGATACAACCGAAATTCGCGCACACGAGGAACGAAAAACAAGAAAAGAGAGACAATGACAACACTCACGAGATGCAAAGGTTTCAGCTTTGAAGTCAGCGATGATTCAACTTGCTCCTTCGTCACCCCCATCTCTCTCTCCGTGTGATTTTCTCTCTTCTTTTGCCTCGATTGCTGTGAGCCTGTGAGATGAGTTCTCTCTCTCCCTCTTTCTCCTCTTTGCACCACGCACGAGAGGAGAAAGGAAGGAAGGAAAGAAAGAAAGATGCGATTCGATTCGGGTGGACTGGCGATTATCTTTTATGAAATTTATAATTTTTTTTTCCTGATTTCGGAAAATTGCACCAAAAATGTGTGGAATCATAGGACAACGGCAGGAAGATAAAAAAAAAGACAAAAGAAAACGCACAAATTCAAGAGAGCTACGTGAAAAAGGGCAAGACCGAGGTGAAATTGTCACGCTCGAATCCGACAGTCGTCGTTGATAAGGTCTAGATTGGGCGATTATGAGAACACACGATCTAATTGTCGACATCGACAAGCTTAGATCTAACAGTTAATAAGACCATTGGAAACTTTCCCCGTGCATGAGATCATGAAAAGAGACTAGACCAAAATGGGGATGGTAGGTTGACGGGGCACGACGAGAAAGGGATTTATGTAGAGTGTGGATTGGGAATAATCACTTAGGATATGTGTCTGAATTCTTCGACTTTACATTGACAAAAGGAACTTGAGTTAAAGTGATAGCTGTGAAAGTAATTAGCGTTTGGCATTTAATATATGAAGTAGTCATTGTAAAACAACCTTACTAGATTATTCTAAGTAATTATCGATGAAATGACCTACCAGTTTTTCGTATGAAAAACAATAAGCTACGAAGCATTCCACATTTCGCCCTTCATGGTTATTGGACAACCTTACACAATTGTACCATACAAGAGTTGTGCAGCTGTGGCGAGGAGTCATCGGGGTCACGCAACCCCAGTCGAGGCACCGTTGCTCCGTCACACGCCGACCATCACTTCATATCCAGCTTCATCATGATGGGTATTGTATTCCAACTCTGATGAGAAAGGCGGGGGCGATGATTTGTCATTCATTCAAAAAGGGAAAATCGGCGGACAAATATTCAAAAAAGATAAGTTCTCCTCATATATCTTCCGATGCTCGTAAACATGAACAATCGAGATTAAATTTAATGAGATGAATAGTGCATTTGTAACCCTCCGGAAATTTTTTTTTCTCGAAGGGTTGCTTGGCAATTCATTGAATCAAAATAAGATATCGAATCAATAGAAATTCTATAATTTTTTTGCATGTCATAACATTATTTTTTTTCGGCGTAAAAGAACGATATAATTATAATGAATTGCGATCACAAGATGGGACTTAGAAGTACCCCTCAAATATAAGACATCCTCGAGATACAACAATGTATCATGTATACTATACTCTAGCGATGGAAATTCGTCAATTTAATGAGTTCTTGGTCAATCGGTTTTTATTCAAAGGTTGATTGTCAATGATGTTTTTGTACAACATTAACCCCTAAGATTGTCCAAGAGAACTATCTATCAAGTATCAAGGATGTCATGGGAACCGGACCGGCCGGTTCTCGTAGGAGCTCTAAATTTTTGGAATCGAGAATAATCGGTCAAGTTCTCAATTTCAGATGTGGAAACCAAACCACCCAAAGGAAATTACCAACACCCTAAATCGGATCAATCCAACTTAGGAACCTGACCCCGACCGACTGACCCAATCGCTGGTTATAGAGTGGAACCGGTCCCGACTCGAAACCGATCGCCCTAACACGCCATGGTCCTCATAAATGTGAGAAAGGGACGTGGGAAGGTTCCGACACAAAGTCATCGCTGCAGTCACATTCACCTGCCACTATATTACCGTTTGATTTCACTCTCCCTCTCATCACACCTGGAGATTCGAGCCTCCTTCTCTTGTCTGCCCTCCCATTGACCAGAGAAACCTCATCACATCTCTCTCTCTCTCTGCGTGCGCGCACCACCGTTGCAGACGGCGGCAATGGCGGACTACGAGAGCAGCCACCACCACCACCACCATCATCTGCAGCAGCAGCAAGCGAAGGAGACGGCCCTCCAGGCGCTGAACACCATAATCCAGCTCCACTTCGAGAAGACCCTGGAGAAGAAGCGCGCCATCGACCAGCAGAAGAAGGAGCTCCACCGCCTCTTCCTCCTCTTCTTCATCTTCCTCGCCCTCCTCTTCGGCGCCCTCTCCCAGCCCTCCTCCCGCCTCCAGTGCCGCCACTGCTGGGCCCCCATCTCCCTCCTCTCCCTCGCCCACCTCGTCTTCTACGTCTCCGTCGCCCAGACCCTCCGCACCGTCAACGGCTTCAAGTACCAGCGCCGCTGCCACAAGCTCACCCTCGGCCTCGCCACCGAGCGGCTCCGGGACCTCAAGATGAGGATGACCCTCGCGATGGCCCACAGCGACGGCGGCGGCGGGGGCGGCGGCCACCACCACCACGAGGTGGTGTTCGACGATGGGGACTTCGAGATCCAGTACCAGGAGCCGCCCGAGAGCTACCTGGGCAAATTCAAGCGGAACTGGGCTCTGCATTTCGGGTTCTTGATCTTGGTCTACGGCTTCATGGTCTCTTTCTCTGTTGTCATCCTCTGTTTCTAGGAACAGTTACTCTGCTTTTTTTGGTGGGTATTTGGCAAGCATTTGTTCTTCTCTTTTCATTCATTTGTCTAGAGGATTGATTTCCTGGGTTTGATCTGGGAAGAAGTTAAACTGCAATCAAAATCGATTCAAGAAAGTACTTCGAAAGAAATACGGAAATGGGAAAGATTCAGCGAGTCTTCATCGTTGAGGAATCTCTCTCTCTCTCTCGTGGGGCGTGCATTGTGCAGAACTTTGGATGCATTCATTGCCATGTACAATGATGGGCATGACGTCTATCGCCCCAAGAAAGGAGCCTTCAAAGCTACCCAAAGCAACCCCTCTGCTTTGGCTAAACCTCTCCTGGGAAATCACAGTCTGATTCTCTCTGTCCTGGTTTTAATATAGCTCCGTCAGTTCCTTTTTTGACTATGAGTTAATAATGTTCGACCATCTCCTTGTCAAGCATGTTAAATATAAAAAAATGATATAATTATCAAAATATCAGATTGAAAACATCGAATTTGATTATTTCACATGTGCTTTGATTGCTCTGATTAACTTAATTCTTAACAAAACATAATGACTCTGCATTGCCAGCTCATTTGATTAAAAAAATTAGAGTGATTCCACTTTTTTGGTGCTCTAAAACATTTTCTAATGGCGGATTGATGTCCAGATTTCAACCGCTCACCCTTCGGTGATCCGGCTGATGTTCGGAACGGTTCTTAAGGGGGCGCGATCAGCGGGCGAACGATGTTCCGGCAAGCAAAGTGCTTGCGTTAGAAAGGAAATTGACTAGCTAGGAGCAACAATGCCCAATTCAGTGAGACATGCTTAGACTGCTTGAAAAGAGTAATGCTGGAAAAGAATGGACTTTAAAGATGACATCTTTATGATGATTACTAATGCAAGGTTTCGGCAGCTGGAGAGGGTGGTTTCCGCAGTTCCGAATAAACCATGCTCAGGAGATTGAGAACTGTTAGATTAAATAAGACTAAATTTCACCTCTTGATAATTAACTAACTCCTTAAGTTTTCACATGTTTCGACAATTTATATGAGAGTTACGGCTCATAGATTCGGTTACAACAGGTAATGACTGGAGGATCGATCGCTTGACGGATCATAAAAGCCCCAATTAAAAGTGTGTGCATTTGGTTTGCAGTCAGCACGCATCTGGATACATATTCACCATTCAATCAGATGAGGTCAACAAGATTTAGATATGAAGCCCACAAAATCGACAAATGGATTCAACTGCATCCACCAAAACCTGTAATCATTTTCGCATTCATCGTGGGAATGTTCTAAAGCTTGCACAAAATAAAGCACATACTATAAACCAAGAAATGGCAGAACTGTTCTTATTGGGTATTAGAATGCTTGAAATTTGGAAAATGAAGTAGCATTCATCTTTTCTAATAATCTCTTAAAATCACAGGATGCCAACTACAGAGCAATGCTTATTATAATGACCTTTGGCCTTTGAACAGCTGATTATATTATTGGTTACGATGGGAGAAAAAACCTCAAGTTGCAATATAAAAATCTTCTGATAAGCAATTTAAACAATCAGGAAAAAAAATTTAGCACCGGGAAAAGTTTAGGACCATCTGATATGAACTTTGTAAGGATGATCAGTAGAAATGAATAAATTATGTCCCAATATCACTAAACCTTCTCTTGGAAAGAAAAGTTGCAAAGAGCTGAACCTGTCCGGACCAAAGCTTACAGTTTAAGCCGCTGAAAGAGCACTGCACAGCGACTTGTATGCGTCGACACATAACTTGAACTTCTCTTCGGCTATTGACTGCGGGAACATGAACGGCGAATAGTCATAAGAACGCAGAAAAGAGATTTTAACATCTGTAAGTTGATCAATGAACTGGTGAACACAGCTGTGTCACGATCGCTTCAAAGAAAAGGTATCGGAGACAAGATTGTTTTTTCTGTTCTGTTTCTTTGTTGGGGCTTTAGAAATAGATCAACAGGTCATTAGAGGTAGCTACATACATTTTCTCTAGACTATCTCATGGATGCTTTAAAATTGTCAACATTCAAGAGGAGCTTGGGAAGAATAAGACCCCAGACAGAGGTGTCATAGACTTAACTGTGCTGCGAAGGGCCTTGATGCTTATCGGGATGCCATTTCAGGGCTGATTGTTGAAATCTGCACATACAATGGCAAGTCAACAATTAGAATAGGCCAATGTGACAACTTCACCTAACATACAGAAAAGAAAGAAACAAGGAAAACAATACATGCTTATGCGTTTTTCACATCTTCTATCTTCGATGGGCCTGTTGTAGGCAAACCCAGCATTTTTCTATCAGACACAGCTCCTATTCTAATTGACTCGTCATCAGACTCCGTTTCACTTGCCGTTTCCCATTCTCTTGTCCTGTGGTTTCCACGATCGAAATCCTCTCCCCACTGATAAGTGATAACCAGATGATGCATTTTCGAAGGCAAAGGAGTGCCTTGAATTGAAAGACCAAGTGTACCACCTATTCCCGAATGTTGCTTGAAATACTTGTCTCAGGATGATCATCTAGGTCCTCACAGAAGCTCTCCCTCCTAAACTTTCCTGTAAAGGTAAAAACTTGCAAAGAATCAACTATTCGGCATTCAGACGGGGGATCAAAGCCTTCATTATTATTAATTGATAACAATATTAACTTCAATTGCTTTATCTCCATCACTTTCGATCCATATTGAATCAGAATAAATTGAGGATAATGAGTCAAAATGAAACAATATATTCTATAATCAAAGAGGAACTTGCCAGGAGGGAACACTAACCAATGGTGTCCTGAAAGAGTTTCTGAATTCAATGCAGAGTTCACTACTTTATTCTTTCCTTTGAGAAGACATGTTGATACAACTTCACGAGTTTCTACCCTTCTCCACTTAATTTATATTCATTGTTCTTTAATATTCTCATCTTATGGGACCAAAAGCGAACTTAACCCATATAAGTCATAAAAATTGGGTACAGGCTAACCCTGCAACCGTTCTTTTCCTTTTCTTTTCCTTTTTCAGGGGTAGATAACGAATTCAACATTCTTACTATTTGGTAGCATATAAAGAAACATATCAATAGCATAAATGTCTGATAAGCCTAGGAAGTGGGTATATAACCAGCCGTGTGCTCACACAAATTCAAAAGCTGTGTGCTTTCCTTCCTTCATTTAGTTAGAGGAACCCACAAAAGTACCTTACTTGACATCAGCAATAACTAATGAAATATCACTTAGATGAAGGGGGTAACAAGCTCAAGCTTCATTTTCTTTTGGTGGCTTTTCCCAGCATGCCGAGAAGATGGCTTTGATCTACCTCTATTACCATGAATATCTTACTGATTTTCTGTCTCATCAAAATTCCAGGCGGGGTCCTTGTCCTGTGCATATGTGCATAGCAATAAATAGAGATGCTCAAAGGACTAGACAATCAGAAAGATCTACATTGTATCTACAGTTGTGTAAGGATGGCCGCTCGAAAGTGATTTCATGAGAAGAGTTTTGGTAGAAGATAGCCACATGAAGTAAAATGGAGCACTAGCAGGGAACAAGTACAATAATGTCAAAGGATGTGGTAGACGAGTAATGAGAGATCTTGATTGTTCCACGCTTCGGGAAATGGTACAGCGAGGGGTTTTCACTGGAATGAAAATCTAGAGGACCCGCTCTTCAAGAGATCTTTCAGAGGCTTCTTTGCATCAGCACGCTTCTGACGTGTTGCCTATCTGATATAGTGTTGATTCAAAATACAGACGAGAGACACAGTTATCAACTTGAAACTTGAATCGTAACTATAAATCTTAATCACGTGCATTATATGTAATCAATGAAATCAATCAATTAGCCCAGATGTAAGTAGTCTGCCGCATATTTTTATGGGTCTCAATTAGGGGCGAGCATGGTTGGTCACTTGTCTAGTTTTAGGGTATGCATGGTAGGTTTTAAGGTTCAAAAAATGAGGAAAATATTTCAACGGATATGTTCCGAGTGAAATTTATACAAAACTTGAAATCGCTCACCCCTAGTCTCAATTTAAGATATATTCGGGATAAAAACACTGGGGTGTCATAACTTTTGTACGGCACTCACTTGAGTGCCATAACTTTTTTTTTTTCACTCACTTAAGTGCCACTTCCGATAAAAAAAGATCACTTGAGTGCCACTTCCGGCAAATCGTCCTACGTGGCTTTTTAAATTAATTTTCCATCAACAGTGGATTTTTTTAATGTTATTTTATTGATTTTTTTCGAATTTTTTTTCTTTTTTATTTTTTTCTTTCTTATTTTTCGTTTTTTTTTTCAAGGTTGACGAGGGTCGCCGGTGACCCTCGCCAGAGGCCTCACCCTCGGCCAAACTGGGCGAGGGCCACCTCGCCATCAGCTGGTATGGCCATGAAGGCCCTTGGCGAGGTCATCGCGGCCTCGCCGGCCGCGGGCGAGGCGGCGAAGACTCTCGCTAGATCTGGCGAGGCTGCGAAAGCCCACGGCGAGGCCATCGCGGCCTTGCCGACCACGGGTGAGGTCATCGCGGCCTCGCTGACTGCGGGCGAGACGGCCTCGCTCTGTCAGGCTCCTCTTCCTCCTCCTCCGGTTGAAGCCCTCCATTTTCTCTCCCCTCAGTTGGTCGAGGATGGTCGTCGACTGCCTCCCTCTAGGGCTTGGTTCCTGCAACATCACCACGAGTTTCTTTATCTTCCTCTTCCTCTTCTTCTTGTTCTTCTTCTTCTTCTCTTAGTTCTTGTTCTTCTTGTTTGGCAACAATGGCCAAGACCGGCTCTTGCCCAAACCCTCTAACTTATGTCGCCGCCAAGACCAACAAGTCCACCCTCTTCTACCTCATCGTCACCTCCTTCCTTTGGACCCTTTCCTACCTCGCCGCCCTCTGGCGGCCCCCTGCCGACCTCATCTTGGCTCACACCCAGAAGCCCAAAGACATTGCTGCTTCGCTAGCAATGGGCGAGGCAACACCTGCGGCAGCGAAGGCTCTTGCCAGATCTGGCGACACTTGCTTACGGCCGCCCAGATCTAGCAACGGCCTTCACGGCTTTGCCCGCCGCTGGTGAGGCCACGACGGCCTTGCCCAGGGCTTTCGCGGTCGAGGGCAAGGTGGCCCTCCCCCAATCTGGGCGAGGCCTTCGCAGCTGGCGAGGGTCGCCGGCATTAAAAAAAAATTTACAAAAAAAAGGAAAAATA